AAACATGTCCTGGTAAAAAGTGACCAAAATTCATTTTGAAATGTCAAATTGGAAAATTATAGTGCATTAGCAGAAATGCAAATTTAGCAGTCTTGGAAAATATAATGATAATGCAGTTTGGATTATTTATTTCTAATTTTATTTATGAGTAAACAAATGCAGGTTTGACTTTGAAATGAAAAAGCATTTCTGCTAATGCACTATAATTTTCCAATTTGACTTTTCAAAATGAATTTTGGTCATTTTTTACCAGGACATGTTTTGAAAATTAATTGTCAGTGTTTTATTTTATTTAACATTTTAATTCATTTACACTTTGAGCAGTCTTGAAGAAGAAAATGAACATACAGTTTGGATTATTTATTTATAATTTTACTTATGAGTTAAAAAATTCAGGTATATGTTGAAAATGAAACACCATTTCTATTAATCCATTTTAATTACGATATTGGAACAAAATCGCTTCCATACCTTAAGGAATCTTGCTGATGCGGTTCTTAGTCCTTTTTTTTACATAGAAAAGTCATATTCAGAGAAACTGAGGGAAGAAGTTGTGAAAAGCCCTCCCACTGCAGCAAACATCACATTTCGCCAACCCTGGAGTTTCATGCCGCAGACAGGCCTACTATAGATCAAGACATGTTAAAGTTGTGTAATTATAACCTCTAAATCGTCAATAACAGTGCACTGTTCTGTAAAGCCTTATAATTCAGTGTTTTACAAAAATATTTCCAATTCAGTGCAAGTGGGATTGTTGTTTCACTATATAGATTTATTTCAATACAAGTGTACATCTCCAGCATCATTATATACAACACATCCAAGGAAACGGTTCCATCACAACTTAGATTTGACAAATATTAGAACAAGTTAAATCTCTACACTATTCTTTACAGCAGACTGTCATTTTCTGTAATATCAAATATCAAGCAAATTAGTGTTTGCAGATATCTAATCTTTATGAATAAAGAATTAAAAAACAGTCCACTGTGCTCCAAGTTTTTTTATAACATTCTAATGACACCATTATTGAGGTAAATTTGTGTTTTTATCAAACAAAAAGCATCTTCAATCAAAAAAAATAATAATTTCAATCAAAAATATAAAAAAACAAAACATTTTTTGCAAAACAGAAACTTTTCGTTGAATCTCAAACTTTTGGTTGATGCTTTAAGTTTTTGGTTGACAGTCTAAGATTGTGATTGACTACGTTTTTGTTTGAACTCAAAAAAGATTCGAACTCAGAAATTGCAAACAAGGGGAGTGGCGCAGAGAGTAGAGAAGCTGAGCTTGTGATCGGAAGGTAGCTGGTTTGACTCCAGGTTGGTCTCCATGTTACACGTGTGTTCACATGTGTGATGGGTTAAATGCAGAGACTCAAAAGAGACCTATTATGCAAATTTCACTTTTTAAAGGTTTTTTTCTTAACTTTGGGTATGTACTTCTTAAGAAAACAGTCCTAGGACCAAAAAAATGCACCCAGGGGCATATTTACTGTAAGTAAATGTATTTTTAATGTATGTAATGACAAGTTTTATACTTCCTACATTTTGTGATGTCACAAGCCATACGACAACCCACCAGAATCTGCGTACAGCCCCTCACCAAGCAACCCCCAGGTGAGGCTCCACCTCGTCAGTATAAAAAGCCGTCTTGGTTGTTGTTGTGTAGTGTGTAGCTCATTTCACAACAAGCCTCCAATAGGGCAATGGGTAGTGTGTTGGATCAGAGAATGGGAGACCAGGGTTTGAGACCAACACAGACACAAACAATTTATTTATTTTTGTTCATTATGAACACGTTTTCTCATATACCTCTATTGTTTAGCTTATTAAAGCCTTGTTAAAGCCTATTTGTTCGAGTTTCTGAGGTATTTTGACCGCTGCTGCTCCCATTACCATTACCTGCCCTGATAACAGCATGCAGAGTGAGCGCAGAACTCCGACACAGGAGGAGTTGGAGAAAAAAAAAGCTGCGACCACGACTCTTCCTCTGGGTCTGACTCAGGGTCTCATATATACGGTTGTATAACGGAGCTTCTGCTATCACTAGCCATGCTAACGTAAATGCTGGCTTTGAAGGGCGGAGTTAATGTCAACAGTTTTTTGGAGGGCGTTACCAACAGAGCTCATTAACATAAACAGCTCTTCTGAACGGAAGTCAGAGCAGGCAGAACTAGAAAATGGGAAATTTTATTACCTGAGAATTATTTTGTGCATTAAATTGAATGAACATGGTCTGGATAGCCCATAGACATACCATAAAAATTTCTAGGGCCCATAATTGGTCTCCTTTAATTTTCCCACCAGGGGATCTATACAGTATATGATAAACATCTGGGGCGGGATCTAAGGGGCGACTATGTAAGAGCGTACTGGGGTGGAAGGTGGGGAGTCCCTCCTTCATGCAAAAGAGGGACAACAGAAAATCAAGAGCGTACTGGGGTCACGTCATGTGAACTCTCTACTGAGGTGCAGAGACTCGTTTCTTAACATCAGCTATTAGGGTTGGGCATAATCGTATCGTGTGTGATTAATCTTTGGCACTTGATAATTAATACGATTAATGCCAACAGGTAGAATCCGCTCGCTGCTCCTCTCAACTTCAAATATGACGAACATTAAAAAAAAAAGTTCTGTGACTTATTCATCTATCAACACAATTTAAAATTTGATGTATATCCTGAAGTCTGTAATTTTGACACAATTTTGAACAGATTTTTATGAAGAGCAAATCTTTCCCACTAAATTGGTCATGTGACTATGAAATAAGGGTGTCCAGGGGATTAATCGTCAAATTAATCGGCTAAATACCACAGTTAATTGTGATTTATTTTTTTGCCAATCTTGCCCAACCCTATCAGCTATGAAATAAACTAAGATGTATGTTCTACCAAACATTTAAGTTTCTCTGTTTTTACAGTGATTATGGTAATAAACTCCTGCGCAAAGTTAATATTTTCAGACTCGGAATGGATGGAAGAGCCGGTTGCGCAACACAGCAGCATGCACGCACACACACACACAAACACACACCAACACCAACACCAACACCAACACACAATCACTCGTTCTTTGTGTGATAAACATATTTTATTCCTATTTTTTTACTTAGGATTTTTTTCACACTCACATTATATTAAATTCATTATTTTTATGACATTAGAAATCATTTCTGATCGTGCAGGGATCACTCAAACGTGTCCTTCACACATGCAGGAAGTAATTTGCATCTGTTTAACATATGTTAATGAAGGTGTGTCAGGGGAGGTGTCTTACCTGCGCTCAGTTCCACGTTAATTGTGATGTACAAAAGCAATGTGCGTGGATTCGGGTGTACGTACAGTTTGATACATCTGGATTTGTTTGTGTGTACGCCATTTTCTGGATTTGACCGTACGTCAGGTTTCAGTAAGAAATCCACGCAAGTCTTTGTACATGAGGCCCCTGGAGAAAACCCACATGAGAACAAGAAGAACATGCAAATTCCAGACAGAAAGACCCCAGGGCCAAACCAGGGATTGAACCCAGGACCTTCTGGCTGTGAGACATCAGTGCTAACCAGGGATGGAAATTAGCACCCGCCACTGCCCAAATGTGGGTAAAATTATGAAGTGGCATGTGGATCTGAACAACGCACCCGCCACCGTGGCGGGTGTGTAATGAACTAAAAAGCGTTCAAATCGCGCTACTGACCTTTGTCAAAACCTCAGTTTCGTTTTTATTTTGCAGCCTGTATAGGACGTTAAAAACATTAAATAACATCAAACAACCACCTTCCAACCAGCTCTGCAGCTAGAAATCAGTTATTCCCTCCTCCTTTCCTTATATAGATAAAAGTTCGATTATCAGAAGGAGAAAACATGAACACCAACTTTAATGTGGCGTTACATATCTGGAGTTAATGGGGCAGCAGGTAACAAAACCTTTTCTCAAGAGGACCCAAAGGAAGAACCAAAACTTGCAGGTTTTTTTAACAATAAATGGAAAGGGAAAAAAACGGACAATAGTTAATTTAACAAGGCAGTCAGTTTTGTTTCATCTTTCAGCAAACAGCAAAGCTGAATAGGCTGGCATCAAGAGCAAAAACCTGAAATCAGCTGATTAAAAACGCTGTTTCTAACTGCCAATGCGTGAATATTACATAAATGTTAATTAAAAAAAACTTCATATTAGTTGTTAAATATTTTAACTCGATAACCATGATCACTTTGACCAATAGAAAAACTGAACTGGAAAAACTGTTTAACCTCTAGGAAACATCTGAAGATCAGCTGACAGCTCAAATAAATAAATAAATAATCTGCTCCTTCTTTTCCCTTAACTTTTCTCTGCAGGCTATTTTTTTGATGCAGAAGAAAACAAAAACCCAGACAAACTAAGTAACAAAATGAACCTTGTGACAAACTTTTTCAAAAGTAAAAATATAAATGATCCCACACTGAGACAATGGATCATCTAGAGGGATTTCCATCTGTTATTGAAATCTCACTTAGAAATAAAAGACACATATTCATACTAGTAGCCTATAGAACAAAAACTACAAGTGATAAAAGGCAAAGGCTGATTTTATTAAATGGAGATAAATTTACCTTAGGTGATTTAGTTATAAGGTAATTTTTTTTCACCTTAAAAATTTTCTCCTACACTATTAAGGTAAAAGTTTTTTTTTCCAGCCAAGTAGCCTAAAAATAATTGGTTTTCCACCTAGTATATACCAGCAAATAGCTAGTTAGTAAGAGAAGTAAAGACGTCAAAAAGTCCATTTTAATTTTGGGCAAACAGACAGAATACTTTAAGAGACTAATAGATTTTGAGTGCCATTATCTGATTGTAGGCACAAACTATTTAATTAGGCCACCAGGACCATGAAATGTCTAAATACATGCTACAGAAACAAAAAATAGTGGCCGGTACAAAGATTTTTCTACCAGCCACTGTGTGGCTGGTGGGGAAAATTTTTAATTTCCACCCCTGGTGCTAACCACTGATCCATCATGTTTCCAGATGCTCAGAAATAATATTCTCTAAATTCACCTGCACTTGTATCAAAATAAAACAACAATATGTAAATCTTTAGCACATTTGATATGGAAAAGACGTTTTGCTTTAACCATTTAATACATATTTAATGTCAAAATATACAGGTTTAATTCATATTACTTTCATCTTATTCTTTAGTCGTGGGCTTTGTGTGTATTATCTTATGTTTAATTTAAAAAATGTAACAATGTAAAAATGTTTTTAGGCCTGGAAAGTGGTTATATTGATACCAACGCTTGTTTGTTCACACTCTGTTACAACAGCTCACCTGTTGCTCACCCTGATCACTATTGGCTCTGCTTCTGACACTAAATCACGTTTTTACACAATGCTCAGCACAAGTCTCCCTTCTGATCCTAAGCTCAGTTACATAAATATATTAAATGTCTCAGGGTACTTTTCATATAAAGCAGGTCTACATCATACTCTTTATAAAATTCATTCTAATAATATTCAGTCAACGAGTGATACTACCTGCTCACTCTGGACTTGTGGGCTCTGGAGCAGGATGTTTCTGTATCTTGGACTCTGAGAAGCTACAAGAAAGTTTCTCAGTTATGCTACCAGTATTTCCATCTTTCAAACTAGCATGTGCTAACGTGTTACGTCAGAGTGCAAAACGACACAAAGAAAAAAGAAAAGACTAGAGCTGCCAGCTAGAGGCGGAGGCAGCCCTGTGGCTATGGCAGGCCATTAAAACATATTATTGGCCGGCAATACAGGGAGAGCAGTAGCAGTGATCTGGTCAATAACTAACATGTTACTGGCCCACTGGGAAACCTCCCCATCCTCCCAGTTAGCCACGCCAGGCCTGCATTTAGCTGAGATAGATGTTTATTTTCAGTTGATGGAGGAGGAAATTCTGGTATTTCTGTTGTGTTTGTGGTCGCCGTCATTTCTGACAGATGTGAGAACGTGTTCCCATGATGCTCAGTTGAGGTATATTCCCTCACAGTCAGCATGGCCACATAGCTTCACCTGTGTCTTCACGCTGTCTCCTCCGTCCACAGTAAATTGTCCAATCTCTTTATAAGATTTGGATTTATAAGTTTTGCTGGAAAAACTGTAAAAGTAGCTGCATTTTTTGACTGTCAGAGCTCCTCAGTGGAGCAGAGATGAGATCAGTCACTCTGCAGCCATTTTTCATAAACCCAACTGAGATGATCTGACCAAAGTCAGGATTAGTTCTCACAGCCCTATGCATACCTTTTTCTTGGTCCATGTTTTCTCCATATATGTGTTGTTCAGTTGAAAGATTCTAGACTCTTTTCCACTTTGTCCACAGAGACTGACCACAATGGGTATAAGTGGAGATACTATAGCACAGTCATGCTTCTGTCTTTAATTAAACTTGAAATAAGTAATGGAAGGACAGAGGTCCAGCAGAGTACAGATCTGGTCAGGGTGTGAAACTGTCCTGTTGTTTAGGTTTGAACCTTGTTAACCCAGAAACCCAAACATGATTCCAGCCAACAGCCAGCTGAAAATGAAGAACCTAAACCCAGACCCAAACCAGTTGTCATTCCATATGTGGCTGGAGTTTCAGAGAAACTGAGACGTTTATTCTCTAAACATGATGTCCCAATGGCTTTCAAACCCCAAAACACGTTACGACAAAGATTAGTTCACCCCAAAGATCAAGTTCCCCAGCAAAAACAGAGTAATATAGTATATGCTGTTAAGTGTCAAGAGGACTGTGATCAATTATACAATGGGGAAACAAAACAGCCACTGTTCAAAAGAATGAACTAGCACAGACGAGCTACTTCGTCGGGTCAGGGCTCTGCAGGGCCTGAGTGACCGCTGGCCTGTAGATGACTCATCTACAGGCCAGCGGTCACTCAGGGATGAAGATGATCTCATCCTTGATAGAGAGGGATGTTGGTTTGAGAGAGGAGTAAAAGAAGCCATCTTTGTGAAGAAAAACCGTCCACCTTTAAACAGAGGTGGAGGCCTTCATGTCCAATTGTCCTCCTCCTACAACGCTGTTATTGCAAGTATGACTCAGCCCCCTGTGAGCAAAAGGTGTGAATCAGGGTTCCAACGATACCCAACACAAATAGGGAAAAAAAGACAAAAACAAGGGGATGTTGAGCCCCGCCTGCATTCACTACATACACATGACACGACACCAAAGAACCACAGCATCCAAACCAATCAGGTGATGGGGCACATAACCCTCAACGAACAATAGAGCTAATTAAGCCTATTGTTAAGCGATGGCCCTCTTTTGCATGTGACTAACCTGTTTGTCCACCATGTGGAGGCAGTGCTTATAAGGCTGAGTTCACCTGAAACTCAGACTGAAGAAGTCTCTTGGAGGAGACGAAACGTTTCACTAAAGAACCCATCTAGAGGACCTACTTATTTTTTCTTTTTGAACCTTGTTAAAGTTTTCTGACAATTTGCACTGCTTCTGATATGTGTGTGTACATGTGTAAAGTGACATCAGAAGTTCTCCAGGAATTTCAGCTGTTGAAAATGATCACATTTCTTAGCATTAATATTTGACATGCTGTAGTGTCGTGTAACATTATCTGTTAAAGGTTTTCATCAGTTTTACAACTGTTTAAAGTTCAATTAACATGTTTTTATCTTATTGTTTTAATGCAGTCCATCTTTTTTCCTAAATTTTTTTAAGTATATATTATTTGCATTTCTAATGATATTTGATCTTTGTGTCACAGGACAGAAGAGGAGAGTACTCCCACCAAGAAAAATAAAAAATGGCACAAGATAACATCTGATGAAGACACTTCAGACTTAGGTTAACTTTCTGCCAAAGATCAACTTCAATGGTCCTGGCTGTATTTCTGTGATTTAAAAACTAAGACATGTTGGTCTGCTGTTTTATATATATATATGTATATTTTTCCCTTTCTACAGCTGTAGGGGGACTTATACCTCCTTTGGATTCAGATTCAGAGGAAATTGGAGGTGTTCAGACACAGAACAAAGTAGGTCTAATGTTTGATAGTCAAGACATTAAAAGGTCGACAGATTGGAATTTTAAAATAACTATGCCTTTTTCTTATTTTTTTACCCTTCCCATTGTTGTTGATTTCCTACACCCATCAGTCTCCTGAACCTCAGATCAACAGGTACCACATGGTATTTTTGACATTTTACTAGTAAATTGGTAGATTTTAATTTTTACATTGGCATCCAGGATTGGTGTTAAGCATTTTTTATTCAATAATGGAGAATAAATAAATTGTTTTTTCTTCACAGTGAGGTCTTAGACGTACCTTCTGAATTTCAATTGGGTAAGCTGCTAGTTTAGCTGCTCTGTGTAGAACAGCTACAATGTAATGCAGTAATTTGTTTTAATTCTTACTGTCTGCATTCAGTGAACCAAGTGGAGGTTGAGTGCTCGGATGTCAATTCACTTTACTCTGTGAGTTTTTGTTTCATTTTGTCCATAGTTTCACACTTTTTGCTTTTATTCTGTCGATTATTTTGAGATTTAATTTGTATATTTACTTCAAAAGAACTTTAAATGACAAAAACCACCTGTTTAAATGTGTATACAGCTGTATGACAGTAAATGTGTTTATTCTTCTCAGAATTCTGACTCCGACAGTTTGCTTGATCCTGTCCCAGAGAGACATACGGTCGAAATTCAGACGATCAAGAGGGAACTTGAAGGTTTGGTCTTCCTGCTCAGTTTGTCAACCCGTTGTGTAATAATAGTAAAATTATTGATTGTGGCGTTTCCTCCAGGCCTGAAACTTGGTTGCCTGTGTGTATGTTCCTCCAGGATTGGGCAATAAGACTGTATATGCTCAATTTTTGGGCACTGCTGCTGGACAAAACACACATTTTTAAAAAAATTTTTAAGAGAAAAGTATTTAGATGCTCATCAGAAAACTAATAAACACTTACCCCTAATTTACATTACTTGCGTTCCATCTCGGCTCCGGTCCGACCTCCGCTGCAAATACGCACGGATTATAATCAATGAGAGTGTTTACACTGGCTGCGCAGGGCGGCGGAGCGGACGGTAATCCGTCAAAATTAGAACAGATTCTATTTTTTGCCGAACGACAGAGCTGCGCCGGAGTCAATTTTTTAAGATTACGTCGCACCAACAGGAAAAGAAACGAGCACAACATCCGTATTTTCAAAATAAGACACTATTCGGCGGAATAATGTCGAAATTGCGGCTATATTAATAAATACACTCACCGGCCACTTTATTTGGTACACCACGCTAGTAACGGGTTGGACCCCCTTTTGCCTTCAGAACTGCCTCAATTCTTCGTGGCATAGATTCAACAAGGTGCTGGAAGCATTCCTCAGAGATTTTGGTCCATATTGACAATGGCATCACACAGTTGCCGCAGATTTGTCGGCTGCACATCCATGATGCGAATCTCCCGTTCCACCACATCCCAAAGATGCTCTATTGGATTGAGATCTGGTGACTGTGGAGGCCATTTGAGTACAGTGAACTCATTGTCATGTTCAAGAAACCAGTCTGAGATGATTCCAGCTTTATGACATGGCGCATTATCCTGCTGAAAGTAGCCATCAGATGTTGRGTACATTGTGGTCATAAAGGGATGGACATGGTCAGCAACAATACTCAGGTAGGCTGTGGCGTTGCAACGATGCTCAATTGGTACCTAGGGGCCCAAAGAGTGCCAAGAAAAGATTCCCCACACCATGACACCACCACCACCAGCCTGAACCGTTGATACAAGGCAGGATGGATCCATGCTTTCATGTTGTTGACGCCAAATTCTGACCCTACCATCCGAATGTCGCAGCAGAAATYGAGACTCATCAGACCAGGCAACGTTTTTCCAATCTTCTCTTGTCCACTTTCGATGAGCTTGTGCAAATTGTAGCCTCAGTTTCCTGTTCTTAGCTGAAAGGAGTGGCACCCGGTGTGGTCTTCTGCTGCTGAAGCCCATCTGCCTCAAAGTTCGACATGTTGTGTGTTCAGAGATGCTCTTCTGCCTACATTGGTTGTAACCGGTGGTTATTTGAGTCACTATTGCCTTTCTATCAGCTCGAACCAGTCTGCCCATTCTCCTCTGACCTCTGGCATCAACAAGGCATTTCCGCCCACAGGACTGCCGCTCACTCTGTGTGTGCTGCTGCACACACTTTTCATAGCTCCTGAGACACTGCGCCAATTGTGGGAAGTCCCTCCCACAAAGGAATATGTCACTGCACAGTTTCTTTCTGCTGGAGTCCACATTACAGGAGGAAAAAGAAAACCTCTGATATCCTCAGTTATTTTATCCACAAATCTGTCCCGGATAACGTGCCACTGTTTTTTTTTTTTTATCAGACAGATTCCTCCATAAACGTCTGTATGATCGCCACCCATGAGATTTTAGCCGTTTGACTATGTCTTATAAATGTCTGATTCCGGTTACAACAGTCAGATTCTGGAAGTGAGTAGTTGAAGGAACATACAGCATCTGAGGGCTTTCAGCACTAATAAACACACCCACAAACTTCTGACCAATCACACAGTAATGTCTTATATAGGAGGGTGTGAAAGGTTGGCTCAGGTCTTGTGACAAGAAGAGGTGGAAGACTTGAAGCTGCGAACAAAATTATGTAATTTTCATCATTAAACTGCAACAAAAAGCAGATGTTAGCAGTTCGGATGGTGCATACTGGGTTCTTTAGCCTTGTTACTGATGTGAGCATGTTAAAACAAATGAGTGATAACAAAAAACAAAACAAATGAATGATAACAGTAATGTGTTGCCTTCAGTTCTAACCTAAGAATACATTTTGGGGATTGAGGAATTTGGTAGTAAAATAATTCAAAAGGTTGCTGTTATCATTAAGGTGAAGACATTAGTTGTATACATGTATTTATTTTTAAATTTCATTATTTGTTAGCCTTGATAATGTTCCTGACTTTTAACTAATTAAAAATGTTTGTTACAAAAAATGACATAAGTATAGATTTTTGAACCAAATTGTAAAAGTTGCCAATAGGTTTAGTGAAGATGTCTCCATCTAGAGCAAAGTAAAGCAGAAGCAGAGCAGCATGTGGGATTTAAGTTACTGAAACATCATGTTATTAAACTTTGTGGATCGTTCTGTGTTCTCAGATTTGAGCTGTGAGCAGAATCCCATCTGCAGTTGTGAGCAGGACACCGGTGAACCTTCAGCCCCAGACAATAACATCGAACTTGTTTCCTTTCCAAGTCACCCTGAAACTCAAACTCCATCCACCTGCTCATCTTTCACCGTGGCTTTGTGTCAACCTTTCAGTGTGAATTATCTGTCTGTCCCATCCCCTTCACATGCACCTGCCTCAAACACACCACCTTCTCCTCCACGAGCTCTCGACCCAGACCCACCCCAAGCACAATCACCCTCTTCAGCCCCCGCCCCCAGCGTGAACTCGGCCAGTTTCTGGAGAAACTGCAACGCAGCCAGCTGTACACAGACCATCTTCTCTGAATTGATTGAAGACATGAACGAGATCTCCACGAGAATCCGGTCTGATAAGGCCAGCCAGGATGGTGAGAAGAACTGAGGATAGAGCTGTGTGGGCTTATTTATGTGGTCACAAGTGCAACATAAAACGGGCCTTCTCTCCACAGATTATGACCGCGCACTCTCTGTGATGATGGCATCTGGAAGACTTGCAGAGTTTGTGTCCAGGCAGCAGGAAGGTGAAGTAAACCTTATCTAAAGAGATTACAGTTGTTTCTTTTACGTTTCCAAACTATTAAAATTAATTCAATTATCATTAACTTGACAGCATGTTAGGGGAAAAAAAATAGACGGGTATAGATGGATGGAAGAACCTTTGACCGTTTTACTGTTTGATGTGGCCTTTTTAACATTAATGACCTCTTGTTCAAAGGAATTTTGCCAACAGATGAGACAGACAGGATATCACTGGGCTGTAACACCATATTGACATCTTTTGGCTTAATTGTAATTTAATCAAATTCAGTCACACTTTTTGTGTGATAGCAAACAGTAGGAATCCTCAGAAATACTCTGTGTGCTCATGTTGAACTTAACTACATTAGAATGGTTTGTTTTTCCCTGCATATTTTTATTGTAGTGAGTTTCAAATAACTGTGTTGCAGAGCTGCAAAGGAAACAGGTGGAGCTGCAAAGGAAAGCAGCAGCTATGAAGGACATTGTCTCTGCACTGAGGAAATAAGTCCATCAGCAATTGGACTCAAAGCATCCGTTGTTTTTCTTTTATCTGTGAATCTGTATAATATTTGACTGTTCAGTATTGAGTGAAGGTGGCATGAATTATCTAGGTTATAAGCTGTTACCAGAAAATAGAACAATCAGAAATGGGACTGAGCAAAACACACTGTTTAGAAATTGTTTATATAAATATGTTCCTAAATAAGCCTCTAGATCAGGGGTTCTCAAACATTTTGGGTCTGGAGACCCTTTACAAGGGCAAAAAATTTCCAGGGACCCCCTCATACTGTAAATTCAATCATTTTAACCCCTAAATTCCATGGAAATTGTGTTTTTGTTTAATTTAGTGAGTTTGTTTTACTAATGCAGGGCTATTCAACTAAATTGCTCCAGGGCCACAGTTAATGCAGATCAACAGCTCAGGGGCCAAACGTCCAGCAACAAAAGTTATTATGTAAATAAACCAAGTATTACTAAGATATGTTACCTTTGAAATAGTTTATTTAGCTGTATTTAATCATGATTACAACATACAGAACCCTATAAAAGTAATGAACAATATCAAAAACAAAAAGGACACATTATGCCTCCTATTTAACACATTTTACATCTCTGACTTGCCAAATTTTTAAACTAATTTTATTTTCAACTGCTTGTAATTTTAACTGTCTTGGGTGTTCATAGAAATGTTTTTTTTTACCAGCTTCTAGCCAAGATTCTAACTTTTCTGTAGATACCAAACATGTCTGTTTAACTACAACCCCTGGCAAAAATGATGGAATCACCGGCCTCGGAGGATGTTCAGTTGTTAAATTCTGTACAAAAACAAAAAGCAGATTGCAGACATGACACAAAACTAAAGTCATTTCAAATGGTAACTTTCTGGCTTTAAGAAACACTACCACATTTTTTTTTCTTGATTTCTTTTAGTCAGCTTGCGGACCCCTGGGGGTCCTGGGACCCAGTTTGAGAACCTCTGCTCTAGATCACTGTGCCTTTACAGTAAATTTTTATTACGATTAGTTGTTTTACATTATTAGCCAAAATGAAGGTTTTAGAGCTACTGTTCAGATGTTATTTTTTGTTTTGTATTTGTCTTATTCAGCATTTTGGAAAATATTAAATATTGGTTAATAAAACATGGCTTTCTGTGCTTTGTTTAAGTGATACTTTATAGTTTCTTTTTGCAGAAAGGATGAGCAAATATTTTACCTTTTGTAGATAGCTTAATTCTGATCATTCCTTCAAATAGATAACAGTTTGAACATGTCAAAATCAGTGGATTGCCATTTTAAAACAGTTTTAATCATTTGTTAGCTATTCACATGAAGAATTTCATTACCTTTACAGAGTTATTCATATAGAGCAGCAATAACCTGTCAGTCGGGATGTATATATTTCTGCTAAAATAATGCTGTAAAATTGACGTCGGTGTAAATAAAAACATGTTCAAAACTAAAAATAGTTTCCGCATGAAACTTGAGTTGCCCCTGGAAGTCATTGAAAGCCTTTTGACAACTGAGACCAACTTCTGCATAATTTACAGAAAACAAACTGACATTATTACATGCATGATGAAACAAAATGCTTAAAACTTATTGACAGAAAACGTACAATACGTTGCCTTCAGGCCCAGGCTGATCTCAGTGGGACTTTCCTGGTTAAACAACGGTAAAATAAAAGTTTTTTTACATGACTACTTTCAGATAAGGATCTTGAATTTAATACCTATCAAACAGATTACATATCTGACATCACAACAACACCAAAAAATAAATAAAATGAATAACCAATGCAAAATACTCATTTATATAAAACAAATCACTTTTTATTTGTTTCATTTCAGAAGTCACAAAATTTAACTTGGCACTTCATAACATTCACTGTTAGGCAATTGTTGATTTTCAGTTTTTGGCATAAAAATACAATCTTAAGAATACTCAAAGCTGCAGTGCAGTAACCACCAAGAACTAAAAATCATAACACAGAAATGTAAATGACCAGTCATAAAGAAAAGAGTCCTTGAGCATACAGTAAAATTAAAGGTCTTTCATTTACCTGGTTGTCTGATTGTGCAAGCAAGAGCTATCAAAAACAACAAAATGCCCATATTTACATTGTTTTAATAAAAATAAACATCTGTTTTAAAGAAACATTTAAGCTCAATCTATAAAATCCACACATTTAAGACTAAACCTGTCTTCTGATTCCCGTTTGTAAAGTCCCGTCTTTGGCTTGTCTTACCACTGAGACAGAAAATAAGTATCAGAAACAACTTTTAACCAACAATGACACACTCAAAATTGACCTAAATAAACGTTATTCATCACTGGATGCTGCGATTTTTTCTAACATCTACAAGTGCTAAAAGACTCATTTTTCAACCTGAAAACTTTAAAACAGAGCAGCAAAAGTGCAAAAACCATTTTTGTTCACTTAAAAAGTTTTAAGAGAGAGTAACACCTTATGACAGTCAAAATTCTTTAAAAATTTACCAACAGCACACCTTGCTTCACATTTGAGCTCCTATTTTATGCTGAATGCTTAGCCAAGGCACTGAAACAGCTGCTTGCTGCTCTATAACACTTGTGCTGTCAGCAGAGAAATGCACACATTATGAATGTATTTGTAAAGGCCCTGTCAATGTTTTGGACAACTTATGCCGATATCTGCAAATTTAGTCAAACACGCTGGCGCACACTGAGGAAAAAAAGCTTCAATTAGCACCTCTTTGATCATACCATTTTGCTAATGACTTGAACAGATAAAAACCTATGAGTAAACTGATCCTAACTACATGTAACTAATGTTTCACATAAAACTTCTGCTGAACTTCATGTATTCTTTCTGTGGAAAGGTCAGATTTTAAATAGTTGTAGTTTATCATAAATATCGGGAATTTTAAATCCAACACAAGATTACAAGATACTTAACAAGATTCTGGTGAAGTGTGCTAAACTTGTTTAAATTTAGAACCAGACTGACATTACTTTGATCAACGTATTTATTGATAAAATATGAAACTAAATAGCATTTTTGGCAATGTTGACTTTGTTTGGATAGTTTACCTGTATTATTATAATTCATAATAATTGTTTTGAATACCGTACGTTAAACTGACTTTGCACATAAGTCTTGCATAACTGAAGGTACTCAGTGGTTTAAAAAAAGGTTGTGCGTTCGCTTCAGAACAGTCCTGCTGGTGTCGGTCATGTCCACTTATGAGTAGCATAATTTACCTGTAACACGTGAACTGACGCATAAATTTCCTGTAGCGTAGCTGTAACTTGTGCCTCACTTATCAGCAGCATGTGGATTTAAGCTGAATTTTTTGAGCATGTACAAAATTGTTTTTCCATAACGTTGATAACATACATGCAAATTACACCAGTGTGTTAAACAAAACAAAAAAGCCAGCATAAGTTGTCTAAAACATAGTGTGACAGGACCTTAAAAATTAAGATTAAAATCCAAACCTGTCAGCGATGTCAAGATTTCCATTATGAATGCATCGGTCAGTGAAGGTTTCTGCTCTCGACTGGAGGTGATGATGGATTTATGGTCCTGTGAAATCCTCTGCATCTGTTCCCATCATTTTCGTTGAGCAAGCTTTAGTTTTTGAAGGCTCCGCAGCGACTGGCTCGACATATGAAATCTTTGAGCAGATTGCCATCGGTCTGCCAGAAAGCAGCAGTCTGGGTCACCTCAGTCAGGTGGTTTACACAGAACTTGAAGCAGAACTCTTCCAGGTCCTGGATGACAAAGAGAGGAAAACAACAGGAAATGACTCAGGGTCATTAAAAAGGTGGTTAAAAATACTCTTTTTGGTTCAAATTCTGATGATCATGAAAAGGTTTATATCCAACCAACTGCAGTCAACTATCATCCCATCATCAGAATATATATTATTCTATATTATCAGAATAGAGTTACCAAGCCCCACTGACACCCAGGAACATGAATACAAGGAAAGCTAACCAGAGAATGAAGATCCTTCTCAAAGTAGTTATATGTAACGCAACATTGTTTCTGTCAAAGATGGTTTTTATGAGTACTAATTAAAGTAAAATAAAAGTAGAGTAGAGTAACGTTAAGGTCTTAGAAGGCTGGGACAAAATAGAGAACAAAAAAAACATGTAGGACTCGTTAAACATAGATTTAATCAAAGTATTTCTGGTGTTTATTCAGTGTTCAAATGTTTGTTGCTTCTGTTTTGTGCTACAATTTTAAAAATATAAACCTTTTGAATGTAACAAAGTAATATAAAGACAAAAATACTCACTAGAACATTAAAAGCTCAATTTACTAGTTTTGCTTATACAAAGTTTAGCTCTGCATGCTACGCTCTTTCCATTCATAGATTTGAAGCTTGCAAAGCAAGAAATTGCTACATTTGATTTCTAATAGTCAAAATATTGCACATCAATGACTAAATATTTATTTCACACATTTAACAGTAGAAAACTTGATTCTGTCAAGAGGAAAATTTCACATTTTAATACAAGTCAAACTAAAAGCCTGATGATTTTTTAAGTTATTTTCGGTCAGTTATTAATTATATATCTTTAGTCATTTTCTCTGTACGTCTGAGAAAACCTCTTACTGATGCTGCAGCTGGTAAGGCACTAACTATTAACCATTTTTCACAGAATATCACAAATGATCTGACTAAGACATTGATTGCATCTTTAAGTAAAAACAAGTTAAAATCATGAAGGAATCTTTAGAAAATGGTAATCACTGCCACGTCTCCAGATGTCATGGTTTCTAGTTAGTCAAACCTGCATGTCAGTCTGACCTGCAGTAATAAGAGGGCTGAAAAGTTCATGTTAAAACTTTTCCCAAATTCTGTTTGAAGTCAAACAAATAACACCTCACAAAAACATTTAAAATTTTAATTTTATAAATTTAAATCTTTACTTTGTAGTTAAGAGATGAAAAACATTCTCAAAGATGTTCAAGATGAAGCTTTTCTTAAAGAAAATCCATTATTCAATATTTATGGGAAATTAAACAGATAATTGTATTTCTTATTATTGCTCTCTAAAAATCTTAAGTTCTAACCAGTGTATTTATGTGAACGCAGATATTTAAATTAAATTCAGCAGCATACCAATATTTATTTTTATTGTGTTAATCGCTGTTGAATCGTAGCTTAAAATAAATTAAAATAAATGACCAAATTCTGGTCATATTTATATTAAGTTGGACCAATAAAAGCTGACAGGTTGTTGTGCCCGTGTGATTTAAGATGGCACCTTAACTGAACATTTGAGATTTCAAAGATTAGATTTAAAACAAAACACCCACACTTTTGCACGGTGAACACACACACACACACACACACACACACACACACACACACACACACACACAATACTGAAATATGCTTTGTTTTCAGTTTTGACTCGGACACATCAAGATGGGAATTTCAAACTTGTGTGAAATGTGCGCAGCCTACTATCGACCGACCTGGGCATCATAGCGTACCGCTGCAGACAGCAGGGAGAAGGCATTCTCCACTGTGATCCCTCTCTTGATGATGTGTTGACACAGTCGCTTCAGCCGGTTCTCACAGTACGACGTGGCCAGATCCAGCAGCCCTGAGGCCCCACAGGCAGGATGAGCAACTCGAAGTTAAACAAGTAAGAAGTCACGCTGCCGAGTGCGTGTCTTACCAATAGCATCTTCAGGCGACAGCTCCACAGCATCTGTGTAAAGGAACTCCAGGAAGGAGCGATAGACTGGATAGGAGAACTGGTCGATTTCAATCACTTCCTTCATGTCTTCGTTCCAGTGAGACTGGAACATTGATCTGAAGTGTTCACACCTGTACAACAAAGAGGTAATATTCACACCTGCTTTCTACTGAACAGGATCAGTTAAACATCTGGAGATGAAATCCTGACCTGATCTTGAGAACTGCTTTGTGGACATAGATGTATTTGCCTTCAACACAGAACTTGAGGTCAGCTGTCTCTGGGTTGTCAAACTCTCTCTTCAGAGACTGAGCCACAGTCAAGAAGTCATCGTGCTCTGGAGGGAGAAACCACATACACACCAAATTTTGACAACACACATAAAGACTAGAAGAAATTTAGCATTTTTCCTGACAGTTCTCCAAAACACAGGTTTGTTGTTTTTCTGACTTTACAATACATCCCATAATAGTATTGTCCTTCAGTGTTCATTACATAAAACCATAAATTTTAGCAGTACTAATTAAATTTCAAACTGGGTATTTAGTTGAAAAACTGCCCATAAATGCTAATTTAAGTGTAAAATTGCCAGCTTTTAAATGGCAGGTCTGCATTTTGTTTGCATGTTAGTCGGCAGGTCACACTGAGGAAATATTCTTTCCAGGGGTGAAAGTAGTTTTAAATTCTTCAGGCAGTGGTGTACCTAGGATTTTTCTGTGTAAACGGCCATCAAGGGTCCACAATATTAATAGAGAGGCCAAGTATTTGTTCAACATCCTTGCAAACAAATCCCCGGTTTTGGTAAGGTGTATACATTCAACCAGTCACACATGTTTAAACACTTGCAATGTAATTACAAGTGTTTAAACAGTTGCACAGTAAATTCTCCTAACCAATTTTACTGTACATGGATAAAATGATCTCAAAACACAGCATGTGAGAAAATCCAGTCGTTTTTCATCTGAAAGACTTTTTCAGCAGGATTGTTCAAATTTTCTTAAAAGACAAGACAATTTCTGTAATTTATAAAATGTGTTTTAGACTGCTTATTGCTAGCTGATCTATTATGACACTGTCATGGACTAATAAAAGTGTCCACGACAACACAAAGAGCAGCCGTGATGGTTCTGAACGAGGGCTCTATAGCAGACCTCTTCCAGTACTGGCACAAAATTTTTTAGTGGTATGCAGCACCATACCAGACCGGAGCGGCTTACTTTCACCCCTGAGCTCCACACAACTCTAGACATTTTGAATTGACAAAGCAAACCCTAATGGGAAGCAAAATGTCTACAGCCTCAGAATAGAAGTCCAGTTGTCCATCCATCCATCCATTTTCTTCCGCCTATCCGGGGTCGGGTCACGGGGGCAGCAGCTTCAGAAGGGAGGCCCAGACCTCCCTCTCCCCAGCCACTTCTTCCAGCTCCTCCGGGGGAACTCCAAGGCGTTCCCAGGCCAGCCGAGAGACATAGTCCCTCCAGCGTGTCCTGGGTCTTCCTCGGGGCCTCCTCCCGGTGGGACGTGCCCGGAACACCTCACCAGGGAGGCGTCCAGAAGGCATCCTTACCAGATGCCCGAGCCACCTCAACTGGCTCCTCTCGACATGGAGGAGCAGCGGCTCTACTCTGAGTCCCTCCCGGATGACCAGGAAGTCCAGTTGTTTTGTTTTTTATTTTTATTTTTTCTTCTTTCACTTCCTTTGGATGCCATCTGGCCTCCAGTTTTAATGTAAAGAACCTTGGGGTTATTATTATTATTTTTAATCAGGATATGTCTTTTAACCCCCATTTTAAAAATGCCAGGACTGCCTTCTTCCAGCTGCTTTCACTTAATTAGAAACATGTCCAAAATGATGCAGAAAAACTGATCCATGTATTTATCACATCTAGGCTAGACTATTGTAATTCTTAAGTATTGATTTAATAGTGAACAAGCATACTTACAGTAACTAAACACAAACTTTAATTTGTCATGTATCACCCATCTAAATTCAATTCATTCTACTAATCACATCAAACCATAAATTGACAAAACAAACAAGACAAAAAACAAGAACAATTTGGAACTGGCTGAGTAACAAGGAGCCCAACACGTTTAGCCAAACTTTTCCCCTTAATTTGCTCATCTAGAAATCTAAAGGAAAAACAGCATCACCTGATTGACCAGCCAGGAGCTGCTCAGATCTGAATTAATTTTTCACTTCATTTATTTAGCTTGACAAGCTAGACCAGATCAGTATGCAACCAGTTTGAACCAGCAACATGTCAGAATAATAAAACAAATAGAGTAGCACTGAGCTCCATCAAAACTGTACAGTGAGTCTTTATCAAGGTTTTGGATTTTTCATTACAGTTTAGTTTAATTTTGTTGTGACTTTTTTCTTTTAATTCAGTTAATTAGTTTTTACAGTGGATTAGCTAGTTTTTATTAGTTATTATTGCATTTTTAATGCTTAGTTTTAGTTTAGTTTTTATTAGTTGTAGTATTAGTTTTTTTTTTATTGTTTATTTGCCCATGCATCCTCCAGCTTGTGATGGTCCTGTGAGTTAACTAACCAACAGCTATTTGGTTGCTAGTTAAAGCATCCATTATAGTGACACCTTCCTAAAATAGTTGTGTAACTCAATTTTGCCAACTAAGGACTTGGGTGATTATTTTAGGGCAATGATAATAGTTGTTTCCAACCCGGTGCTACCTGCTGCTTGTTTTTCATGGGAGCTACTGAGAGAAGCTACCATGTCAGTATAGTCATAGTTAGCCATGTTGTGTGAGCTTGATTCATGCAGTTTTTCCCTTGAGAAGCTTTCAATCTATTTTATCACCTGTTTCCACTTCAAGACACTTGCTTTTATTTTTCTCACAGTCATATTCAAAGAAATCTCAAAGTGGACATTGCCGCTTTCTCCCAACATTTGTTGTTGTCATTTAGCAGGCGATGCTGAGCAGCAGACTGTAAACAAGTGTTATTGTGGCCCACAGCTAATGTGAAGC